ATGGGTGTACTTCTATATCCCGAAACATTGTCACCTCTCTCCTGATGTCCATTAATGAATGCACCAATGTTGTTGCCCTTGGTTATCACAGACTGCCGAGCAATTACAAAATATTACCTTAGCTACAAAAAACATGTTAAATATGAAACAAAACAACAAAGAAAAGCTGTGTTGTCACAAAAAAGCAGTCATGAGTCTGCTTTATCATCATTCATGCTGCTGACGATTTAGTTTCTCCTTTCCAGTAAAATCTGTGAAATTGTGTTGGTGAACAGCCACAGAAATATACTAATATACAGACAAATTCTGTGTACTTGTGAATACTTAAAAACAGCAGCAACAGCAAAACATATTCTCCTTTACAGTCTGTGTTCATGGAAGGATAACTGAACAGGTCATGGAGGACACAGTCTCAAATTCTCAGTCCCACCTCTGAGCACCAGGCTTCAAAATCAGCAATACACAGCATGTGTTATGACAAATTTTCTTTATTTCTCAGGGTAAAAACCTCTCTACAAGCACATCTTACTTGGACTGACGCTACCAGCTCAACAGAAAATTCAGCGTGAGCCGATTGCAGCAGAACATTATGTGTTAAAAGGTTTTTTCATGCGTGGACAGTGAAAACATGGTGATGGTTCACACAGGCTGAGTGTGTGTGTTTCCTTAGAGAAGTTCTCAGCTGGTGTCCCATGTGAGTGAGCTCAGGTGTGCTTTATGCACTTTCAGTTAAATCTCAAGACTGACTTCTGTTCATTTCCTATGGGTGTATTTTGACAAATTAAAGGAAAACCTAGCATAAAGTGCACAACAGAGACTTAAAGTGTATCCAGAGGAGCTTCCGTGCTCCTCTGCTGGAGGGAGGAAACATCAATCTTCCAAAACAGATCCCCTCACTGTGTTCAACACACCTCCTCATCCTCATTAAGACATTTCTAGAGCTGCAACCATTGGTCGGAACAATGATAGACAATTAACTGGCAACTATTAATAAGCAACAATCACCAGCATTTTCTGGTTTCACCTTTTTTTAATGTAAGGAGCTGATGCTTTTCTTTGTCAGATGTGAGAATAAATTAAATATCTTTGGATTTGTTGGACAAAACATGACATTTGAAAACACCACCCTTGACTCTGGAAAGTCAAATGGGCATTTTTTTTCCAATGTTTGACATTCTGCAAATAAAATGACAAATAATATAATTAGGAAAATAGTCCGCAGATTAATCAGTGACCCCTGCGTGTTTCCACTCATTTATTCTGGACTTTCATTTTCATTTCACACCCGTCTGCACCTACAGCCCCCCAGCCTGGCTTATAAACATCCAAAATATGAGTCATCAAATCGCTCACTTCACCACACCTATTAGCAGTTTGAAACCCTGTTCCAACACCAAATAAAAACCAAAACCTGAAGTCAGCTACTACCATTACATTCATTAGACCACCACTAGTGAACTTCACATCCTGACTGCACACTTGTCCCAAACACAGGATATTAACATTTCTTTCTTATCTTCCCCAAACACTGACTCAGCAGCGCAGTTATCTGTCTACCTAGTAGATAATCACTGTCATGTCCCCTCTCTGGCTGTCTACACAGTAGATCACTTTCAGAAACCCATCTGTTCTACATTACAAAGCCATTCATCTGTCATACAGACCATACTGTTTACTGCTGTGGATCAACCAGGCTGTTCTGGCCCCTGACAAACAGTTAAAACAATTAAATGAGACTGCTGAAAGAAGAAATAACACAATCTTTGTCTAACACATGAAAAGCTGAATTTATAAGAAGAAGAAATGCAACATTGTTCAATACAATACACTGCTGCAGGGATCCTTGGCCCAGCATGACTAGTAGCTTCTGGTGTCTTATGTTTGCTAACTTCAGTTAGAATTTGTTCTATAACTAATTTTTCTGACTTTATGACTCTTCTCTAGGTGATTTACTGCTAAACTATGTTATTCCTTAACTATTGCTTGTGACCAGAAAACCTCACAAAGATTCAGTTTAAAGGGTTATACACCCACTTTAAATGTCATCACACCATTCAATGGCTGTTATCAGTTGTTATCAGGACCACAGATGTGGCTTAGTGGGGTCCTACTCCACCTCCTAGTCAGCTCAGTAGGCTGTTATCATGTGCCGGACCTTTGGCATCATGGTTACAATACTAAATGCAGTGTGCCAGGTTAATAAACAATGGTCCTGTTCCAAAGTCCTGTGTGGTGGCACCCACCCTGACCTTCTGTCTATGCAGATTCTGTTGCTCTTAATACTGCACATTGTTGAATATTCATAGATGCTGGAATGCACAATGAGGACCCAATGTTGAGGCCTATTCCAGAGGTTCACTGAAATTTTGGGGGGAAAACTGTGTTAGACTATATATTGTTTATAGCTGAGTATTTTTATATGCAAATATTAAAATGTCTCTGAAGTGGAACTCTAAAGACCACCAGAAGATGCTAGGGGTTCAGTGTCTCCTGAGCCACACAGGCCCTAACACAAATACCATTTTAATGTGTTTATATACACACAAATCAATCTTTCTCAGTCTAAATGCAGGCCTGGATCAAATGCTGCATGCAAACAAACTCTATGATGGGAAATGTTCTGCTCTCCCTGAAAACTCTATAACCTGTGAATGTAAAACCAAACCGAAGAAATGCCAATTGTTATAATGATCTGTGTGACCTTTAGCCTACTTAAATCTACCATTAGCCAAAGCTGCTCACAAACAGTAAGACACGCAATTTATTGGTCCTTTTCCCCTGTAAGAAGCAATGCATTTGCTACCATGAATAAACACAGGGAGCCCATTCAGCAGCAGCTGTAACATCAGGAAACTGATCAGGATCAGTTTGGTTACATATTTTTGGAGGATAAACCTGTAGAAACCAAATTTTGGTTCCAACATCAAGTGTAGTGGTGTTTGGTGTCCAGGAACACATAATAACAAAAAGTCTCATAGAGTAGTTAACAAAACTGGGTGAAAATGTCTCAGAGATGTGTATAATTGTTCAAATCCTCCACAATAATGTACAAGGAGTGCATTAACAGGCAAACTCAAAGTTTTAATTTGGGTTTGTTAGAATACAGGTGCTGGTCATAAAATTAGAATATCATCAAAAAGTTGATTTATTTCATTAATTCCATTCAAAAAGTGAAACTTGTATATCATATTCATTCATTACACACAGACTGATATATTTCAAATGTTTATTTCTTTTAATTTTGATGATTATAGCTGACAACCAATGAAAACCCCAAATTCGGTATCTCAGAAAATTAGAATATTACTGAATACCAATACAAAGAAAGGATTTTTAGAAATCTTGGCCAACTGAAAAGTATGAACATGAAAAGTATGAGCATGTACAGCACTCAATACTTAGTTGGGGCTCCTTTTGCCTGAATTACTGCAGCAATGCGGCGTGGCATGGAGTCGATCAGTCTGTGGCACTGCTCAGGTGTTACGAGAGCCCAGGTTGCTCTGATAGTGGCCTTCAGCTCTTCTGCATTGTTGGGTCTGGCATATCGCATCTTCCTCTTCACAATACCCCATAGATTTTCTATGGGGTTAAGGTCAGGCGAGTTTGCTGGCCAATTAAGAACAGGGATACCATGGTCCTTAAACCAGGTACTGGTAGCTTTGGCACTGTGTGCAGGTGCCAAGTCCTGTTGGAAAATGAAATCTGCATCTCCATAAAGTTGGTCAGCAGCAGGAAGCATGAAGTGCTCTAAAACTTCCTGGTATACAGCTGCATTGACCTTGGACCTCAGAAAACACAGTGGACCAACACCAGCAGATGACATGGCACCCCAAACCATCACTGACTGTGGAAACTTTACACTGGACCTCAAGCAACGTGGATTCTGTGCCTCTCCTCTCTTCCTCCAGACTCTGGGACCCTGATTTCCAAAGGTAATGCAAAAGTTACTTTCATCAGAGAACATGACTTTGGACCACTCAGCAGCAGTCCAGTCCTTTTTGTCTTTAGCCCAGGTGAGACGCTTCTGACGCTGTCTGTTGTTCAAGAGTGGCTTGACACAAGGAATGCGACAGCTGAAACCCATGTCTTTCACATGTCTGTGCGTAGTGGTTCTGGAAGCACTGACTCCAGCTGCAGTCCACTCTTTGTGAATCTCCCCCACATTTTTGAATCAGTTTTGTTTCACAATCCTCTCCAGGGTGCGGTTATCCCTTTTGCTTGTACACTTTTTTCTACCACATCTTTTCCTTCCCTTCGCCTCTCTATTAATGTGCTTGGACACAGAGCTCTGTGAACAGCCAGCCTCTTCTGCAATGACCTTTTGTGTCTTGCCCTCCTTGTGCAAGGTGTCAATGGTGGTCTTTTGGACAACTGTCAGGTCAGCAGTCTTCCCCATGATTGTGTAGCCTACAGAACTAGACTGAGACACCATTTAAAGGCCTTTGCAGGTGTTTTGAGTCAAATAGCTGATTAGAGTGTGGCACCAGGTGTCTTCAATATTGAACCTTTTCACAATATTCTAATTTTCTGAGATACCGAATTTGGGGTTTTCATTGGTTGTCAGTTATAATCATCAAAATTAAAAGAAATAAACATTTGAAATATATCAGTCTGTGTGTAATGAATGGATATAATATACAAGTTTCACTTTTTGAATGGAATTAATGAAATAAATCAACTTTTTGATGATATTCTAATTTTATGACCAGCACCTGTATAGCTTCACAGTACAGCTTAATTTAAAAGGAATTATTATAAATAAACTTTAATGGTGCACCACAGCTCACTCCATTCACACCAGCTGAAAACTGACTGGGAACCACACACTAGAGAAATGTTGGAGCGAATTAGCAGGCATAGAAAAGAGATGTGGAAAACAGCTCCACGTTAGGAAATGACCTAATCCTGAGTTTAAATTCCTGTTAGCATAGGGCTTACAAGTTCTTTAGCTCTGTGCTAACATTTAGTATTTCACACTCAGAAAATGAGACAGCCCAGGATTTACTAAAGCCTACTTTAATGTAGTTACAGATGACTTTTTAGGGATATTATCAGAAACATGGAGTTAAGATCATTGGTGTGAATCACTTAGAATAAAACAGAAAAAAAGAGCAATTTATTAGTTGTTAAGTGAAATGTTGTGACATGGGTACACTCTGGGTTTGCACACATGACAAAGATTTAACTTGCCTCTAGATGAGTTTAGGCCATGGTTTATGCAAGTGATGCATGGAAATGCAAGTGTGAAAATTCTTGTTTGTGTTTATGTCCGATCGATATGAATGATTTTGTTGCATATACACTACAGCACAACAGATCTGCTTCGAGACGTTGCCTTCTGCTACAGTCAGTCTAATACAATGAGCCATTCAGATGTAGGTGCTCTAGAGAAATTGTTTCAAATGACTGGGTTTTGGTTGTGTTTTAGTAGCTACAATGTACAAAGGGAGATGTGGCAGAAGAGTGTTTAACAGCCACACATTTTGTTTTTTTAGTTTGCCTTTTAATTTCTGCTTTACAAACTATAAAACGTAATCTATTGGAGAGAGGCTGCAGAGCTAACAGAGCATACAGAGGGTGGACAATGGATGTCTGTGCAGTATTAAAGCAGCGTGGGGGCAGAATGGTAGAAACGAACGATGGTTACCACTGAAATAAAGCAGAAGATCATAATTTACAGAGTAACAAGAATAATGAACCAAACTATAACTACAAGGAGCAAATTTCACTCAATGTGTACACAATTCAAACTTCACAGTCTTAGATACACAACTGCATTGAAAAGCCAGGAAACTAAATCTGATTTGTTAATTATTTCACTTTGCCCAGAATAATTTTATAGCTACAAACGTACTCCATTCTCCACAGCTGAATCCATTCTGTAAATTTAAACACACACAAAGGGCACTTGGTTGATCTAATTCTGATCGGTGCTTACACCTAAAGATATTTAAGCCTGTGGAAAGATAAGTCAAACGTGCCTCAAGCAGTACTATTATCTGAAACCCACATAAAGTGTTTTCCTGCCTTGCAGTTTATACAGCTTGGGTTAGTTACAGGTTAACAGGATAAGACTTTCAAATTCACATTTATAATGAATTCTTCATTTGCATGGGGAAAGGGCTCCAGAGCAGTCACCTGGCTACCACACTGAGCCGGGTTGTGGCTTGTGGAACAACATGACAACAGATAGGAGGAAAAACATTCCCCATTAAGGTCAAGGTCAACTAGCACAGCTACCAGTGGAAGCCTGAAGTAGGTCACTGATTCCTACATGCAGTGTTGTGTTTTCCTGAGTAAAGATAGAACCTGCTCTTACCCAACGATGCTTGTGTGTTTCATCACACCGATATTCAAACAAAAACCCTATAAACCCAACCAGATCTAGACCGAGTCTAAGATCCAGGTTCCATATTAGATACACAGGCTGCACCACAGTAAACTCTGCATGTGACCATTAGAATAGCAATGACGCCATTTTAAAAAAGCACTATTAAAATGAATTACAGGCTGTATTTGTTGACTAATTTTGGACTTAAACCATGTCTAGTTATACAATAATGAGGTCTGGGTCAGAAAATCCAGAATTAGTTCTACAGCATGTAAATAACAATGAGGTTTGGTCTGAACCACTCTATTTCAGTCAACAGTTCTTTCTAATAATGAATACTGGAAACCAGACTAAATCACAAAGTTTAGTTGCCGTTAAATTTATGTTGCTAACAACAGCAGGCTATAAAACTACACAAGCCCATACTTGGAGTGGTAAAGTTTAACCAGAGCACCAGACTAAAGAGAGTTGTAATGAATGTGTTAAAATAGACTTTTTCTGATTCTGTTCAAACCTAAACCTGTCTACACAACCCGATTACAACCACCATGACTTAGAGGTGGTCTAGTCACACGAAGTCCTGGTTCATCAGGAGAGGCAGGAGCACCTTCTCCTGCGCAGAGCTCACACTGGAGGCAGGCTAGGATTAAAACCATCTTAGAAGAAGGGACACGTAAGCACAAAAATCCCTGTTTCATTCTTGGAAACAGGGCAGGTTCTGCTAGATCCATGCTGGGCTCAGTAGCAACTCTCATCCATGCCCAGACTAAAACATTTTAGATTCATGAAGTCATACTTTGGTTCTCAGCTACACTTGAGGTCCTTCTCAACATCAGGCTCTGTTAGAGAGAAACCCGAACTGAAGGGGAGTTCAGGTAGAGCCCAAACCCAGGTGAATCCAGACCAGGATCAGAGCATTAACGCCTCGCTGACAGCAAGCCCCAAACCAGTTGCAGCTCTGCTCTAGGCCACGCAGCAGTACCTCTTCCACCATGACTTTGACAGACTCTTCATCTTGTTCGGTGTCTGCCTGTGCTTTTTCCGTTGTTTTTGTTTCCCTCTTGGGTGTTTATGGGAGTTGTGGTCCTGCAGGCTGGCCAGTATGGCTGTGTCAAATACTTCCTTAAGATTTTTTTGGGTAAGGGAAGAGCAGTCCATGTAGGCCACAGCCCCAATCTCCATCGCACAGTCCCAAGCGTCTGCTGGGTCCACAGGCTGCTCCCGGTACTTAGCCAGGTCAATGAGAACCTAAAGAAAGGAGGAAACACTGTTACGCCAGGAGCATCACTAGCATTTACTGTATCTTAAAACTGCTTACTGTATACTGTATTTCCCATAAACATGATAAAGTTTTTGAGAACTGATATCAGTAAGAAACACAGATGTTTAACAATTTTTCATTCTTTGCTTTACTGTAAAACATATGGAATTTCTTGGTGCCATAAAGCAGACTCAGTTCATTTGTTTGATTACATGATGACGAGAATGTTTAAGAGTTAATAAACAAACACTAGAAGTAGACGTAATGTGAATTATCGCCCACACCTTGACATCCTCTCGGAGGTCACACTGCGTCCCAACGAGGACAAGGGGAGTGATGGGGGCGTGTCTCCGGATCTCTGGGACCCACTTCTCAGGAACGTTCTGGAAAGAGGCCGGACTGACGACACTAAAGCACAGCAGGAACACATCTGCACTGGTGTAACACAGAGGACGCAGCTTGTCAAACTCATCCTGGAAAGGTTGGGAGAAATCCAGTGTTTATAAGAGTGTTGAAGAAAATGAGAGAAGCTCTAATTTCTCCAGTAAACAACTAACATATATTGATAAACTGAAGAGGTGTCACTAGCATTTAACAGCACGTAGTGATCCGCAACATCCTGTTATTCCTGTCTCCTGGCAAAATTAGACAGGGTAGTGGGAGAAAAAAAGGAAAAGAGGGGGAGGAGAGAGGGATGACATGATGATAAGGTCAAAGAAGAGGGAGCAACAGAAAAGACCTTTTTTTTCTTCTTTTGGTGTGTGTATGCATGCAAGAGAGTGAGGGTTAATCTAGTGTTACTGAGATAATAAACTATTACGATATGTCTGGTTCTAACTTTCTCTCACTGCCTTGAGCTCTGACTCTGTCCTTCCTCCCACTAGGATCCTCCTATTCATTCTGTCGTCATATCTCAGAACACAGTAACACACAGGGTGATGATGATTTCTTTTTTATTATTTAAACTTATGACATCCTACATGCACAAATTCATGGACTAAACTCCTGACATATTATTGGCCAACTGCTAAATATGAATTTTACTCGCCCAGGGTCGGCCGGAGCTCAAACCCAGAACCTTCTTGCTGTGAGGCGGCAGCACTAACCACTGGTCCACTGTGCCACCTTCTGATGTAAATTCATAATCAAATATCAAATTGAATCGAGAGAACTGTATCAACATTTGTAGCAACATTTTGAGTTAGTAGGACAAAACACTAGATGTTTGTTATGTTTGGGAAAAAAACTACTTCAGTTTTCTACTAGAAATGATTTCTTGGGGAAAACAATGCTTGACATCCCATGCTTGACTCCTGCCAGGAGTCTTTGTTGCATGTCATATCCTCTTTCTGCCACATTTTACTCACATTTCCTGTGTAGCACTACACTGTCAGTTATCAACTTAAACAGCATTTGTGCTTCAGTATTGGACTAGAAATAGAGAAAGAATAACTTCTCCCTGTCAGATGCATTGTTACCAACACAATCCAAAAGGAAGTGTTGTTGCTGCTCTGTGTGTGTTTGTGTTGAGATCACTGACCTGTCCAGCTGTGTCACAAAGCTGTAGTTTGACCGGCTGCCCATCCACTGACACCACCGCTACACACACAATCACACACACGTCATAAGGTCAATAACAAGTGTAAAGCATAGTGTAGCTTTCCAGTGAAAAATATAAAGTAATAGAGATCTATATGAACAAAATGTGCTGACAACAATCACACAACATTAACTCTGGTAACTATTTGACTAATTTAAAGAAAAGATGCAATTAACTTACTGGTCTATCAACAGAAGTAACTTGTTTCATTGTTTAGTAAGTATTTGTTTCCGTAAGTCATCCAGGTTATTGATTATGTGGAATAATCGAACTTCAGGTGAAATGTTTTGACATTTGCAGAGGTAAAAGATGGGCCAGTGTATTAAAAGGTTATGACAGATGTTCTATAATTAAAGAAATGTATGTAAAACATACTTCACGGCGACTTAAACCATATGTAGAAAGGCTAAGATATCATTAAAGTAGGCTTTTTGTCATTAATTAGTAGAGTTGTCTCCGTCCTTTACCTGAGAAGTTGTCAAACGCGGTCGGGACATACTCGGTGGGATACCCGTTGGTGGTGTAGCTGACCACCAGGCTGGTTTTCCCCACAGCTCCGTCCCCCACCAGCACACACTTCACACGTCTCTCCGCTGCCCTGCCTCCCGCTGCTCCTGCCCCGGACAGCTGCGTCCTGCCGGAGCCCGTGTCCCCGCTCCGGACTCTCCTCGGTGGGACAGGCGGAGCAGGGGATACTGGTGCCGGCTTATAGCCACCATCGCCCCGCGGAGGCATCTGGCAGGGAGAGGAGGGTGACATAGAGCAGGGGGAGACCCGGTGAGGAAATTCAGTCCCGGTTTGGTCCAGTTTTCACATCGTCCATTCTTCCGTTATCTGCCGAGTTCCAGAGCCGTTTGTGTCAACTGACTTTGTTGTCGCTGCTGTCCGCTTTCTTTTAGTTTCCATGGTTAAATTATACAAAATGTGTACATCTGTTCAACTGGCACAGCCCAGGACTGAGGCCGGGTCTGTTTTAAATTTCATGGCTCATTAAAATATGAAGTTAAGTCTGATTAAAAGAGTACCGATTCCACTGCCGCTAGCTGTCCGCTGGTAACAGTCAGTGTCTGTCCAGTCATCGACAGAGAGAGCCGTGCTAATGACATCACCGCGCGCGTGTGTGTGTGTACATGTATGACTGTCGCTATGAGGACCACTTTGCTTTAAATACCTTGGAACTGAGGACTTGTTGGTCGGTCCTCACTTTGGCGCACGTTCAAATGGCTGCTTGAGGATTAATACTAAGTGTTAGGATAAAATTAGAACTAGGTTTAGGGTAAAGGCTGGGTTAGTTCTAATAGTTAAGGTTATGGGAAGGAGCTAGGGAGTGCATTATGTCATTTAGTGTCCTCACAAAAACTGAAGTAAAAACATGAATGCGTGTATGTGGCACTTTGTCAAAAAGTTTGTCTCATTTTACCAGCAGAGTTTGTTACTCCTATAAAAACCAGTGGTGAAAAATCACATACCTATATTATATTATGTACTGTATTATAGCTGCATTGACAGGCTAAATAACATTTAATACTATAGCCTATAGGCTAGGTATAGCTAGTCAAGCTTACTGTTAATGTTGTGTGGATTATTCTGTAACAATGCATCATATTTCATAGCCTGGCAAGTAACATTAAAGTGTCCAAAGCAATGCGGTGCATTAGAAAATATGATAAACCCCTCTGAAATGCTTCATAAACTATATTATATTTAAAATATTAAGTACCTCAAAATTGCATTTCATTTTCAACCACTGCTACAATCCACTTGAGCTAAGAATTAGATAACATAGGACCAATAAATATGATTAGCGATACAGTACCTTATCAAACTTTTTTGGTAGACCCGGATAGGACATTTGCACCATCTAATGGAGTGAAAAAGAAACATGATACTCATTAAAATCTTATATATAAACATAATAATATTTTAGTGGTCTTAGAGTTTCAGGTAAACTATTGAAAATCATATTCATATTGTACATCATATAAATCTATACGAGTCAGTTACAGATTATATCATACAATTCTTAAAGTGAAATCTGCGAAGGATGCGGAACAAAATACACGCAAGTCTGTGTTTTCACACGGACGCTTTTCTGGGCTGTACCAGTGCTTTATGTATGTTGCATAGTGAGAGGTTGAAGAGATTGTTTCTGGACAGTATTTAATACTGTTTGTTCATCTGACAGACAGATCATCTCCGTTCTCGTGTTTCGCGGTATAAACATGTCCTCCGCGGAGGTTGTTCTGGGTTTCCTGGAGGAGGCGGAGCCGTGGCGGCTTCGGTCCCC